GGGGGGGGGGTGAAGAACTGAAAAGTACCTCAAAAAGTTTCCCCCTCGATATGAGGAAGGACGCCACAAACCGCAAATCGATATCATAATTAGAACTAAAGTTATGGCCAGTGGTGCGTAACTTTTGAATAACCCTGTATATTAAAATGTACGGAAAAGTACGATAAATAAAATGAACAGCTCTTTGTTCGAATCGAGAATCCGGCATTTGACGATGTACCAGGGTTGAAAAAAAATTGACCCTTAAGAAAGTGTGAAAAATGGCATCATTGCAATCTCAAACTACCTAAACGATCAAATTGACTAAATAATCCAAAATAACGCAATTTTTGAAGAATTTTAGCGCAAACAGCACCTCAATTCTTTTTTCGTTGGAAAGATATGGAACTCAAAGGTTTCCAACTTGGCAACGCTGCTACGCGGAAAGAAATTCATTTCAGGCCTTGAAATTTTGGGGATTGGCGTATCCTATAATGAGGAATGACGTATTGAAAATTGGTCAAAATCCATGAAGGGGTAAATTTTTCCGATTTTGCATACACCTCATTTTTAAATCATCGCTCAGTGTACCTAAACCTTAGTACACAGGGTATTTCAGTAAGAACGAGCCAGTTTGAATGCATAAACGCTTTCAGATTTCAAAAAACGAGTTTACATTGAACCACAAGTTCCCCTACTTGGAGGGGGAACACCTTTTAAGCCTATTTACACCCTTCTTCTTGCTTAGGATGGCGCTAGGAGGGGGAAAGGTTAATCCATCAATGACTCGAAGTTTTCAAGTGGCATACCTGATTTTTGTATTTCAGAAGGTAATTCTACGGAGAAATATACGATTCTCGGTCCAAACCAGGCATCAATAAGATAAGCCGTTCTTAAATGGCAACCCTTTAAACTTTTCCCTCAGACTTCATTTCAAAAGCTTAAGAGGCATGCTGATAGGTACCAGGAACTTCAAATTTGTACATAAAATCTTTGTTTTGCGCCTACTTTTTAAGGAACATGAAATAAACTGAATTTCTGATGTTTCCCTTTTTTGAGAGTATTGGTCAAATTATTTCTTTGCTTGTGCTCTTTAAAGAGGGGCATTCCACTATCCCCCATTATTTTTCCCTTTCTTTGCCCCTCTATAGTTCATGTACATTGATAGAAAGCATTTCTGTAATTAACCGTAGAGTGGGTATGGTAGCAATTGCCTATTGCTAAAAATGAGACTACCAATAGAGGTGAGAAAATAGCATACGTTTGGCAACAGAAGCAAAGGTCGCAGAATAATATTGCTAGTCATACTACAAATCTATTCTGTTGGCAAAATTTCAGTGGAATTGGCAATCTTGTAGATGATGAAGAGGGATTAGGAAATGATGCTCATAACTAAAATTGCAGAATTTGCTAGTTTAATTAAATTAAATTGTAAAAATAACTTTTTTTTTTACAATAATACTTGCTCAAATATTACTAAATACTTTTGCTAGTTTTGCAATATATTTCTTAAAAACAGCAAGAGACTAGCTAACGATAATTTTTGAATGCTGAAATGACAACTGGTTTTAACAAGTTTTGCAAAATGATTAGTGAGAGCAGCAAAACTTAAGGTTAATTCAGCAAACATTCTGCGAATTTAGAATTTTTTTTTCTGAGCAAAATCAGCATGAAGTAATGTCGCCAACCTTGCAAAATTATTATTTGCAATTTATGCAAAATGAATTCACCACTGCACTACTATGTGACCACACTGAGAGTGGCATTGACTTCAGCCCACGCCCAATAACACTTCAAACTTTTAATTTTCTTTACACAGCGAACAACACATGGGCAGGGTAATTCTCTGCTATTTCTACTATTCCTGTCACACAGGCTTTTTTGGCACATATATCTATCAACAGGGTTCAGGTGAATTATTTTTGATGCAGTAACTTGACATTTGTAGAATGTATGGACCTTCTACTTTTTATTTCTTTAGCCTGTCTTAAGAATACTGACAATATTCCTGTCTTGAGACGAGACAGAAGGCTTGTCACGAGGTTTTTATCTCAACTCAGTCCCCCTACTTTTTGCTTCATATGGGAGCCACGAGGGGCGCTGTTTGTAAGAAACAAGTGATTGTTGTTATTCAGTGTGACCCTTTTACCTCACCTAATCGCTGTGATAATTGACAAGAACGTGTTCAGGTATTTTTTTTAAAGTGTGAACGTTGGAATCATCCTGAAGCAGCTCAACTCCATGTGCCTGCATTATTATAAGAAAAGCTTCAACAAAAGTCAACTATTTTTAAATATTTAACATAATACTTAGTCCTAATCAAGGTAAACGTTTTGTTTTGGCGTTAAACATGACCTCAAATTGTTTCTTCCATTAAAATATGCAGAATTCTCAACTCAGTCCCCTTAATGTAGTATTCTATGAGGGGACTGAGTTTTTGAAAGTCCTTATTGAAATGAGTAGTTTCTGCTGTCATTAAATGGGTTTCCTACTTTCTTTTTCCTAATGAATTTGTCCATGGGACAGGGTAAAATTTTGTCAAACAGTCAGTAATTTTATTATGATATATATACAGACACACAGACAAACCGAGTGAGATCACTCATACTTTTGTGTCCGTCTGTCTGTCTGTCTCCCCTCCTCTCCCCCTTTACCTCCCCTCTCTTCTCTCCCCCTTTACTTCCCTCTCTTCTCTCCCCCTTTACCTCCCCTCTCTTCTCTCCCCGTTTCCTTTCCCCTGCCCCCCCCATTTCCTCTTAAAGACTCTCTCCATCACATCTACCTCTCTATCTCACTCATAACCTCTGGACTCAGTCCCCATTTTAGTATGGCTTAGTTTTGAAAGAAGTACGAGTTCCTCTAGCACCAAAACAGATTTTTTACAACTTATATTGATGTAACACCTAAAAAAATTAAATATATTCCGTACAAAAATCGTCCAGGGAAATAAAGAAACTGGCAGAAGGACATTTTGATATATTTCAGTTTTCTTCCCAAAATCTACCCTCTTTTAGAAATAATTACTTTACTGACAATTTGAGGGTTTTTTTTTTTTTTTTTTTTTTTTTTTTTTTCAATACATTTCATGGAGTTTGAAAACATTTGGGAGGATAATTATATAAAATAAAGACAAAAAAGCAGAGGGACTGAGTTGAGATTTTATCCAAGTTCATAATTTCTGCCTGCCCGGCGGAAGACTGAAAATGTGTTTCTTGCGGAAACCTTTATTAATTCGGAGCGCCAAATTACGTGAAGTTTTAGAAAAACATCTGTGCCAAGGCGTCTTTGAGAGTTAATTTTTCGAAAATTTTGGGCTGAAATAGTAGAAATAGCAGAGAATTATCCGGCAGATTATGCCATTTTTCAGGAAGAATCTCGTCATCGAATACAAGAGAGAGAATCGTCTGGGCATGCAGCACATGGGTATTCAATATTCATTCATGTGTTTTTGGTTGCTCAATCCGAGAACAGTGCTACTATTTTCCTATCATGCATTCACTTTTGAAAAATTGAATTTTCCTCGGAAAACCCTGCTTTCCAAAAGAATCTTAATTTTCTAAAAAATTGAGGAATTGAAAATTATCTAGAAAAAACTATTCTGCGGAAAAAAATAACTTGGAGTCACCTATTGAGACCCAAGCGGTTTCTTTTCAACTGAAAACCTGTGTTAATAAGGCATTTATGTTTATCTTACTCAGATCATACAAGAAGAATGCAGTGAAAACATCTGATAAAAAATTAGCTGATCCAGAGAACGAGAGCCGCGATAATAACTGCGCCGGCGCGGCTATCACACAGAATTTTTGAACCTTTCCAAACCAGTTCAGTCACCTTAAGATGGGCGGCCTGCCCGCTCGAAATGGCATAGTGCGTAGAGAATAATAAGAAAGTAAGTGCTATATAATCGGTTTTCAAAAAAATTTAAGTTAAACAAATAATTTGTGTTCATAGTGCCGATAAAATTTCAAAAAGTGTGCAATATGCAACAACATAGTGAAATATTTATGTACTTACTTGCTCTAGATAATTTCTAATGTCTGTAATTTGGCTTTGAAGTCCTTTTAATCCCATAAGCTGCCCAGTTATCCGTTGACTCAAAGTGCCTACGGTTGTATCTTTGATGTCACGTAATAAATGTTCTACTCCAACTTCTTCTGTCTCTTCTGCTCCCATTTCACTTGGTACATGTTCAAATGTCCTTGACGTTGGTGTTCCATCCTACGAGTGAAATGGCGGTATACATGTACAGGGTGTTTCAGACCACCCGTACCAGGCCGTTTCCTCGGTTGGTATAGATCGCACGAAGTCGGAGACCGCGGGGTTGAAGATGGAATTGACCCCAAGGAATCCGAATTTCGAGGTCCCGAAACCCCCCCACTCCCCTTGGGAGGTAAAGAGGGGGTCACGATGCTAAAAGTCACGGTTCCCGACCGAATTGCGGATAGGTCGCATCAGAATTGAAAAGCACGGAAAATTTCACGTGGAATTGACCACTAAAAATCCAAAATCGGACCATCCAAGTCCCAAAAATGTCTCCCTAAAGAGGGGAACAGTACCCCCCTCCATAATTTCTCTTTGGTCTCAAAATTGACATAAATTCTCCAGAAAATTACGGTTTCCCAGGTAATCGACCTCAAGAAATTCAAATTTCATAGTCCCGAAGCTCCTCTAGCTCCCCTTGGGGGTAAATGGGGGGGCCAATTTTAAAAATCGGGGCTCCTTTCCGAATCGCAAATTGATTGCATCCAAATTGAGGAGCAGAACACATTTACATCTTAAGTGACTCCTAAGAGTTCTAATTGACCCCCCCAAACGGCAGAAAGTAACCCCCTAAGAAAAGGGGCCTCGCCCCCGCCAAAAATTTCTCAGGATTCCTCTTTGGTCGCAAAATTGACATCGATTCTTCAGAAAATGACGGTTTCCCACGTAATCGACCCCGAGGACTCTAAATTTCATGTTCCCTGAGCTCCTCGGGATCGATTACATGGGAAACCGTCTTTTTCTGGAGAATCGACGTCAATTTTGCGACCAAAGAGGAATCCTGAGAAATTTTTGGCGGGGGCGAGGCCCCTTTTCTCAGGGGGTTACTTTCTGCCGTTCAGGGGGGTCAATTAGAACTCTTAGGAGTCACTTAAGATGTAAATGTGTTCTGCTCCTCAATTTGGATGCAATCAATTTGCGATTCGGAAAGGAGCCCCGATTTTTAAAATTGGGCCCCCCGTTTACCCCCCAAGGGGAGCTAGAGGAGCTTCGGGACTATGAAATTTGGATTTCTCGAGAACGATTACCTGGGAAACCGTCATTTTCTGGAGAATTTATGTCAATTTTGAGACCAAAGAGAAATTATGGAGGGGGGTACTGTCCCCCTCTTTAGAAGGTCATTTTTGGGCCTTGGATGGTCCGATTTTGGATTATTAGGGGTCAATTCCACGTGAAATTTTCCGTTCTTTTCAATTCTGATGCGACCTATCCGCAATTCGGTCGGGAACCGTGACTTTTAGCATCGTGAACCCCCCTCTGCCCCCCAAGGGGGGGGGGGGNGGGGGGGGGGGGGGGGTGGACCACGAAATTCGGATTCCTTGGGGTCAATTCCCCATTCAACCCCGCGGTCTCCGACTTCGTGCGACCTATACCAACCGAGAAAAAGGCCTGGTACGGGTGGTCTGAAACACCCTGTATGAAACAATTTTTTCAAAACACTAGTTTCTTTCCAATTTAAGATGAAGAGAGTGTAAATGTTACTGTATAAATGTTATAGTCCACGCCACGAAAAGTGGCGGGTGAGGGGCGGAGACAGTCGACTGGTCTAGTCTATCGTTGAAGGGTTGAAGCGCAGGTATTGGCCCGTAGTTGAAACGGGGTAACGACTGGGCCAATACCTGCGCTTCAACCCTTCAACGCTGGACTAGACCGGCCGACTGTCTCCGCCCCTCGCCCGCCACTTTTCGTGGCGTGGACTATAACCATGTTCTCACATGATTCTCATATAGCATAGTTTTGCCATACGGAGGCTGTTACACAGTATTATTTTCTTCATTTCTAGAGAAAACGTATAAAAAGAGAGAACTGAATTCTTCTATTTCTCTGTTAATTAGATTTTACCTGAGAAAACTACTTTCACAAAGGCCCAAAATCTGTCATGGCCTTGGAAAGTGCGCTGTCGAAATCCGGTTGACGGCGATGACGTCAACGAGTGTTTACTTGTTGGCACATCGCATCTCGGCCGTGTTTCGGCAGCGCATATATAAGGCCATTGCATCCTCACAGAGAGAGATTCTGTCGCTGATAGTTGAAGCTCCGCTATCAGCCCGGGTCCTTGGTTTGGCGAATTTCGCTGGAACCTCTCCTCTGACTTGGCGAGCATTCGCTCTGGTCAGCAGGCTTAGCGACATTTGGCGCTAGAGGCCCCCCCTCTCCTGCGTCGGAGCCTTGGCCCTTAGAGTTGTTGCATCATTCTATACTATAAGCTCCAAGACCTCCTAATTTTGCGAAACTGGCGACGCTTAGTTCCAGCGTTCTACCGGGTCGATTTTCATGATTTTTGCGGCTATCGACGGGCAATTGTCTCTAGATAAGCCAACTCTTTTCAGATTTTCAAAATATGGCCCAGGTTTTTTTATATTACGTGGTAAAGTTGCGAATTCTCCCATTTAAACAATGTAAATTTATACTTTTTGTCATAGTTCGTTTGAGCGTTCTACCGGGCCGATTTCCATGATTTTTGCGTAGATCGACAGGTAATTGGCCCTAGATGAGCCCGCTCTAATTAGATTTTGGAAATAGGACCCAGGTTTTTTTAAAATCACGTCATAAAAGTGAGTGAATTTACAGAATGCTCCGGGACTGCTACCGCTATGCGCGGGAGGATGCGCAGTGGTCGAAGAGGTTGCGCAGGGGATGTGTAGCCTGCGCATCAGCTCTATACTTATCTACACAAGATTCGCACCTCCTCCCTCAAGACGAGCGGTGGCCGAGTCGTCTAAGACGTCGAATGCGTCCACTTGGACTACGATGTGGGTTCGATTCCCGACTTTTGATATACTTAATTATTACCTGATTATCATTGTTCGTTGTTTTACTGCAATACTTCATCAAGCAGTCATTCTAAAACGCTTTCTTTTGACTTCAAAAAATTATTTTTTTCTTTATTCATCAAAACCAAAAATTATTTCATTCTACAAGTAAAGTATACATCATATCGTAATTTTTTAGGGGGAAAATAAACCTAACACTGATAGGAGGGTAAAAATAGGGCCGCGAAGCGGCCCATTGATGGCGCGGAGCGCCTTCAGGGGGTTGGGCCGCGTAGCGGCCAGGGGGCGTACCCCCTAGTCACAATATAACCGTTGTAGATATGCTTTTCATCAATACATCATGAACATCGGAAAGTCCTTGTGTTGACCAGCCTACACTATCTTCCATCCCTAAGGGGGGATCAAAACATGGTGGAGGCTTGAGGTTCTTTCCCAGTGCCACCCCCCCCCCCTTCCATCCTTTTTCTCTCTCTTCCTCTCCTTTATTCCTTACGTATTATTACCGAATGTTTTGCCGTTATGGGATGAATTATTAGAACGGATTTTTCAAACACAGAAATTTTTGCTTTTCTCATAGATAATGACGTTATTATAGCAACTGCAAACAGGAATTTCACCCTAAATGAACAAAATTTAAATACATACGAAAAAGAAATGTTATTAATTTATTAATAAATATTTACGATTGTAACAACGAATTTGCAAATCTACGGCGAAATGACAGTTCTAAATTCACCCAATAATTTACTTTTAAAGGAATTAGAGGAGTACAATTTCATTAGGGAATTGGACGAATATTAATTTATCAAATTCGTTTCTGATGGCAACCATATTCATTGTAATTAATGGTAAAAAGTGGAAAGTAATATGTTCAGACTTGATTCCCCTTGTCAAGGCGAATTATCCTGCGGAAAATAGAAAGTCTCAATGGGCATATTCCGAGTTTAGTAATTTGGTAAAACACATACCGCGCAATGTTCTGATAGACTTCATTAATGTAAACACTGACTCTGAAATTTCTGTAGAAGATTCAATAGTAGATGTTACATTGGATAATTCAGCTGCAGATACATTGGTAGGAAAAACCTAGCGTCAAGACCCTCCGCAATCGCAAAACCAAGAAACTGCTCCAACTCCATTTGTGTATAATGATGATGGAACTTTAAAAAATGTCCATGTCTTAAACATTCCTGCTTTAACTGAGGCCTTCAAAACTCTATATCAATTACCGTACAATTTTGCTACTATAGAACACGCTAGGAAACAATTAAGTAAACTCGAGAAAAGTAGAAGTGAGAAACTCAAGGAATCAACTAGATTTAAACCTCAAAATTTGAGTAAAATGGCCTCTGTTAGAATGCAACCCATCAATTGGGAACTACCAAAATACAACGGGTCCTCGGAACCAGAGGATTACGTACAAAAAATTGAAAACATGGCTAAAGTTGGAAAATGGGATGATGGTTACACTGTAGGAACTGCAGTTATGGGATTAACAGGTAACGCAGATTTGTAGTACAAAACCACGGGTAAGAAGTTAAACAGTACGACATGGATAGAGTGGAAAAAGGAATTTCTATCAGAATTTAAAAACATCTGTGGAGGAGTAGGTATGGATTGGCACATTTTTCTAAATAGGAAGCAGAAACAAAACGAAACCCCTCAGGCGTATATTTACAATAAAATTTATCTTTCTGAGAAACTGAAACCGAAACTATCAGAACAGGAATTAGTGGATTTAGTAACCGAAGGTCTATTTTCACATATCTCAAAACCTCTTTTTACTCTCAAGAGCAAAACTATAGACGAATTAAAAGATAATCTAGTAATCATCATGAAAAGTATAACTCTCTCCGGAAATTCTGGTGAACAACCGGAGAATACTGTAAACAGCATCTCCTCTGACTTGAAAATTGAGAAATTAGAGATGATGTCACAACTTTTAACGGTAACCAAGGATTTGCAAAACAACAAAAGTAAAATTAATAATTTCGGGAATAGAGGTGGAAACTCAAATAGAGGCAGAGGAAATTTCAGCGGAAATTACAGAGGTAACTTTAGAGGAAAATATATAAATAGTAGAGGCAGGGGTCGACATAGTTTTTACAATGACAGAAACAGATCGCAATCGCAAAGGAACAATAATTTTCGAGATAGGTCCAGAAGTAATTCTCCCAACAGATC